TCAAAGAACTTCTGTCTCTGTGGACAATTAGCAAGGGGGTGTTGATAGGGAAATGGTGAATTCTGGTGCTGCATGCAAAAGAGCTCTCCTGTTTGCTGCCACATTGATTCATTTTTGGTATCACATTATCTTTCATTAAGTCACAATCTTCACGTTCAAGGGAAAAAGAAGAAAGGTGAGTACAGCATACTTTGGTATAGTGCAGGTATTTAAAAAGTATTGAAGTATCTGTCGTCATTTGAAAAAAGAAACAAAATGAAATCTCACTTAATTTTTCCAGGTTCCCTTGCATAATACATGGTTGAAAGGATGCGAGTGGATGGTTTCACAATTGTAATAACTGCCTCGTATCTGTAAAAAAACATAGTAATGGTCTTATTTTAATCGAAATAATTTAGGGAATTACCAAGTATTTTTCACATTTTAAAATTCACTTACTTTTTTTTCTTCTTCTTTATGTATTTATCTTGAGCAAATTCTGTTTTGTCTCTGAATGTTGTACTGTTCTCTATTAACTGCTGAACTATTTCCTTGGAAGAGACAATTCATTTTTGTTATGGCTAGCATTTATTTCTCATTCATTTCATAGACAGTATTTTTTTAAACAAGCACTGAAAATATTTTCTTCCAGTAGAGGTATGTGTACCATGAACTTCTCCTGGCACTAATGGCAAAGTCAATCTCTGTTAACCAACAGGACCAGTGAGGCATTACACTGACTATGTGTAGGAATTTAATCACATAGTTTTGCATAAAAATAATAGAAATGAAAATGTTTATCCAAAGTATTCAGTAATATTTCATTTAATCCAACTCCCTCTTTGGGTCTCTCTGATTCCAGTATCTCTGAGGGTACCTTTTTTCCCTGTTCCATGCAGTTCCTCCCCTCTGCTCTGGTTAATCATCAGACATGTCCCTCATTCCAATAATTTTTTCAGTCTCACAAATTTTGCCACACTACTGTACCAACTCCTTGCACAATGTCCAACTCCTTAGCATTTATTACTTCCTGCAATACTCCTCCTGATTTTTTTCCTTCTCTAGCTCCCAGGCCTTCCCAGAATTCCAGTCTTGGTTTCTTGGTCTCCCTGTTCTAATCTCCACCCTTTACCCACCCAACTCTTTCTCATGCTTTCAGATTCCAGCTGGAGGGATCACTCCAGCAAAACCAAACCAATCCAACAGGATTCCCCTTGCTCCCCCTCTCCAGGCCAGCAACACAAGTACAAAAATGCTGTTATTTTGGGTTCTGTGATCCAAGTAGTTTAACTGCTAAAATTATGGGTTCTATGAAACATGGAGGGGACAAATGAAAAAAGGAAGATTTTCAATTTGGACACTGCAGCTCCCCTAGTGCTTTAAAAGCTGCTAAAATAACAGAGTGGTGCAAGTATTCCTCACTTCCTACTGTGCTTTTCAGGCCATTATTCCTTCAAACACTTAACATGTGTGATTATTTGAAACAGAATTTCTTTATTTTTTTGCTTTATTCTAGGAAAAAAATAAATTCAGTGCCTGGGTTATGTTGTTTTGTAGGGGTTTTTTTTAATGTTCCAGTAAAATTTACAGTGAAGAAACAGGGAAGTGTCCTGCATCACCAAGTCACACCGTTCACAAACAGGAATTCAGATCTTAACAGACATTTAGGGAGGAATAATATCTATTGCTGCTAATGCAGCTTAAAATGAATATTCAGTTTCAGTCCAGAAAGCAGAGTTAATAAAAGCACAGGAGATGCATGGCACAGGCTTGCTGAGGACACACAGGAAAGTCAGAGGAATCTTCTGCCATGGATAGTGAAAACAAAAACCATCAAAGCTGTCAGCCTGATTAGCACGTTCTTCTCCAAGAGATAACACAACCAGCAGCACAACCATGGAAACAGAAGAACTATTTCAAACTCCTTGGACCCAGCAGGCAAAAGCAGAAAAACTGCTCCAAAGAGCAAGATGCAAACAGGAGACGAATTTGAGGTAAGCATGAGCAATTTCCTGCTTTTATTGGAAAGGGTAAACCAAAGACCAGAGAGGATTGTGCCTGACAGCCTCTGCAGAACAGAGCTGGCTGCAATGCCCACAGCTTAGAGATTCCTTACTTTATGAAAGGTGCAGGCTTAAATACCAACTCCTTTTCTAACAGAACAGAACTGATCTCTTGGGAACACTCTGAGTTTCCCAGGGACAGATAAAGCACCAGCATCACCCCTGTGTGGCAGGCACTACCTACAGGCACACTGGTGGTACATTTGTTACACAGTGTTATTTGATAAAACTTTATTGCTTGGCCATAATATTTTCCTACACCTTTGACAGTTTAATTATTGTACAATTTTGATACCTCTGTTATACAGAAATAGTATTTTGAACTTTATACACAAGCAAAACTAAGTGGTGATTATGTGAGCTGTACTTTATCTGTTATGACTTCTGATGCCACAAAAATTTACTCTTTACTCTCCCCGACAAAGCTGCCAACCTTACATAAAGTTTTCTCTGAAAACAGCTTTAGCATTTTTGTAAAACAAAAAAAAAAAAACAAAAAAAAAAAAAGACTTGACCAGATGAACAAAGAAAAAGCACTGAAACCTATGCACAGATAAAAAGAATACCCTTTTTCAGAAACTAAAATATAACCATCAAGGTAGCACAGAAATGACACCAAAACCTTATTTTTACCTGTCCTTTAATACCCTTGTCCTTCAAAGCCTTTATGTCATCATGAGTCAGTTTTTGAGACTTCCCATCGTCAACTATGTTACGATTATCTGTCCCTGCTTCCTTTGTTTCTAAAGGAAAAGGATATAGATTTGTAAAATCTAGCTCCAAATAAGTGGGAGAAACACATGATTTCAGTGTCACAGAAAGCAGATTTCTCGTGGTTAAACACACATTTTTCATGGCCTCGCAAAGTACAGCCTAAGCAAAGAAATGTAATATGTGAGGTAAAACTGAATGTAAATGAAATCACCCAGACTCTGGTTCAAATTTTCTCCCACGTTAAAAAGATTATTTGTTACAGGACTAGTGAAACTACTGATCAAGACAAAACCATGCACTTTTATGACAGAAAGAATATAATCAGCCTGTAGTTAACAAATGATTAATAGAAAGCTGTCCCAATTTCTTTGGTATCATCAAAGAAACAAATTAATTTGAAATAGTTTTCCAACTATCAACCCTCTGGGATACCTGTGGTAGTCTCTTCCACCTCTTGCTTTGGCTGGAGGTTTCCACCACTGGTTACTTCAAACGTTGTTCCATAAATATGTCCAATGGCATTATCCAGGTAGAACCACTGCTTCTCAAAAATTATCTTTCTGAAATAACAGAAAAGTGAGTAATACTTAAGGCATTATTTTTATTGTATCTAAATCCCACTATACTTGAGCCTAAACTATAGTTTTATATATGACTTTTCATCTATATCCCAGAAGAAAAGCAGGACAAGCACAAAGAGTGATTTTAACCACAAAACCCACATGAAACTGAAACTGGTCAGGAAAAGAACAAAGAACTTAAATAGACCATAAAGGAAGAACTTTTTTTTTTTTCTCAGTTCAAAAGAATTTTCAAATGACAGATAAAATAAAGCTAAGACACTAGTCAGCATCATTTTTAGAAAGTCAGAAATATATTAAACCCAAGTTGGGTCATGCAGAGTAGCAGCAAAAAGATGAGCATGGTCCTGTATTTTGCAAAGCTCCTCTGAAATAACATTTGCCAAAAGACTATGAAGAAAACAGACAGCAATCCTGGAAATGTTTAATTAAAAAAATTTAAATTTACCATCCCTTTCATTTTGATTGCACCAAGGCAGGTGTGCATTTTATCTTCCTTCACTAAGAACAAGATCCACAAAGCCTTTAGCTTTCAGGCTGACCAACAAATGCTGCCTTGCTATCCCTGGGAATACCAATCTTGGCAAATGAAACAGATATCAGGATCTATGCCACACTCACATTCAAATCAAAACTTGCCACTATGAGCCGTAATTATGCAAATTATACTCATCACTAATACTGAACTACACCATGTTCAAACCAGTCCCGCTCAAGCCTAGCACCTTTAAATCTCCATCCTACCCAATCAGATAGCTGGCCACATTACCCAACCCTGACTTCTCTACCAGACTGCCTGCTGCCAGGGAAGAGCCGGGGCCGTGCCCGGCGGTTTCAGCATTCCCTGCCGGGCTGCAGGCGCTCTCTTGCTGGGCCTGGGAGAAAGACCGGGAGCCCTTTCCCGGCGCCCCCTCCAAACCGCAGCTGGCCAGCATCCTCCTGCACACCAAGGCCGCGGAGCACGCTCAGGGCAATTAACACTCCTCATTAGCACCTCACGGACACCGCGTGCCACGGCGAGCACACCGAGCTGCTCGGGCTCCGCTGCAGCCGGCCCGGTTTGACCCGGCACGGCCAAACCCTCTGAAACCTCCTCCAGAGTCCTGTCGGCAGCGCGGCCAGGACATCTGCCGGGCTTTAGGGGGTTTTCTTGCCAGAGGGACCGAGACAACATTAAAACCTTTCCCGCCGCCTGTGACACGAGCCTCGCGGGGCCGCTATTCCTGCCGCCGAACCCGCGCGGGCGGGGCCCCGCCGGGCGCGCCTGCGCAGTGCGGCAGCGCGGGAGGCGGGAGCCGGCGCTGAGGGCAACGAGCGCCGGCCTGGCCCCGGGACTGCTCCGCGCCTTCCCCGGCGCTGTGCTGGGCGAGAAGGGCGCTGCCTCCCGCGGGGTCCCCTCTGGAAAGCAGCACGGGACCGGCACCGGGACCCCCTTCCCTCCGGCGGGGCCCGCCACAGCCGCACCGAGAGTGGCGGGGGCGGAAGGCGCAAACCGCGGCCGAGGCATGCCGAGGCACCGAGCGGCACCGGGAGCCGCGGGCGCGGCGCTCACCTGCGGCGCAGCACCGACACCGCCTTGAAGACCTCGTCCCGCTTGAGCACGGCGCAGTCGCCCTCACGGATGCGCGCGCTCGGGCCGCCCTCCATGGCCGCCGCTCGCGCCGGACGGAGAAGGGCGCTGCCTCCCGCGGGGTCCCCTCTGGAAAGCAGCACTGGTTTCAATTAAGTGTCCTCTGGTAAAATTTGTCTCCTCAGCTCGGTTTGTTGTCGCGTCCCCGGAGTGGCGCCGGCAGCGGGAGATGAGCAGGGACCTCAGGGGCAGGGGATGCGCCCGGGGCAGAGGCTTCCAGGGATGGCGAGGAGGATGGCGAGGAGGAGGAGGATGGCGAGGCAGAGGACAGAGGGGAGAGCCCAAAAGGATGCCCGAACCTGGTGAGCCAGCCCCTGTGCTTCTGCTTTCTGAAGCCATAATGCTTTTCTTCTAACGCACTGTGCTAGGCGATTTTGTTTGTCTCCTGTGGTCAAAAGAATCACTGAGAATAAAACTTACAAAATTTCACTGTCCGTATTCTTTCAATCCACTTTTTTTTTTTTTTCTTCCCCCAGCAAAATCTCGACTAGTCCAATCAACGATGGACCAATTTATTCCCTATAAGGGCTGGAAACTTTATTTCTCTGAAGGTATTTTTAAACCAAAATTACATGTAGCAAGTATTTAAGTTAATTTTTTTTCTAGAATTGTTTACATGTAGTGTTAGTAGTGTTATAAGATCAATAAAGAACAACCAACATTTCATATATAAAAACATAAATACAATAAAAACTTGACTCTTATCATATACTGTAACTTTTGTGATTATTACTGAGATCCTGTGGAGATCTATCATCTTCCTTAGTTTTGCATTGCAGAAAAACAATGGAAGAAAAATTACCTGTTTATGTTTTTTGTGAAGTGGAAAGAATTATTTCTGTCACTAACGTGGTGTGTTTCTTCTTAGTTTACAATGACAAGTCTCCTTTTGTCCAGAAGACTCAAGCCTTTGAAAAGTTTTTCATGCAGCGCATTGAACTTTATGACAAGGTAAAAAACAAAGTCAAATGTATCCCAGCAACTTGTTGTTGATGCAAGAACACTGCAGATTTTTAGTGTTTTTTTTCCGTCAAAAGGAGCCTCCATCAGAGATCTGAAACATTTAGGACATAATTTGAGTGTTTTGATTCTAATTTGAAGTGTATTTTATCATTTATGATGTTTCCCAGGATGAAATAGAAAGAAAAGGAAGCATTCTCGTGGATTATAAGGAGCTAATCCAGGACAGAGAGCTGACTAAATCAATACCAAATATATCTGCTGAACTAAGGGACATGCCTCAGAAAATACTGCAGTGTATGGGTCTGGCAATTCATCAGGTAAACACGGGGTTCTGATGCGTGGAAGCAGAACCCTCACAACAAAAAATAATCAGTGACACTTAGAGGCAGTTATGTTAGAAACCCCACATCTCTGTGCTTTTCTTTCTTAGGGCAAATTACAGTTTGTTTAAAACTCAGATCCTTCAATCTCTCCACTTCATGTACGAGCCACAAAATCACATTTTGAAGTTGCTTTGGTCTTGGTGCTTTTTTCTTGTTCATCATTGGAGCAGCTGACTAAAGCTAAATGTAGTTCTAACACCCGTGTCTCTCCCTGTTGGGAGTTCTAATTCCTGTGGGCATCTGTGTCCCCTTCCTGTTCCACGCAGGTGCTCACCAAGGACCTGGAGAGACACGCGGCAGAGCTGCAGGTGCAGGAGGGATTGCCCCTGCACGGGGACCCTGTCATAAACGTGCCTCTCATCCATGCCAGGTACGGGCTGCTGGGCACTTCTTCTTTCCCAAGGAAGAGCTGTTTGCCTCCTGGCTAATCCTTGCCAGTGTCCATGTGTGGCTCACATGTTTAAGGGAAAACTGAGCTCTGTGAAGCTTCTTCCAGGAGAACACTGAAGGTTGAACTGACGGGGGTTCCCGGGACAAGTGAAGAGATTTGAATTTTGACTCTGTGTTTCAGAAGGTTGATTTATTACATTATATGTAATATTAAAATGATATACTAAAAACTATAGTAAAAGAATAGAGAGAAAAGGATCCATCAGAAGGTTAGAAAGGACAGGAGAAGAAAGAATAACAAAAGCTTGTGACTCTCAGAGAGGCCAACGCAGCTGCATCTTTGATTGGTTAAGTAGAAACAACTCACAGGAAAGCTTGTGACTCTCAGAGAGGCCAACGCAGCTGCATCTTTGATTGGTTATTAAGTAGAAACAACTCACAGGAACCAATCTAAGATGCACCTGTTGGTAAACAATGTCTAAACTACATTCTGTAGCTATTAGATAGTTAATTGTTTACATTTCTTTTCTGAGGCTTCTCAGCTAGAATAGGAGAAAAATCCTAGCAAAGGATTTGTCATAAAATATCTTAGCTACAAACACTCTACATTCTGCTTTTTCTCTTCACTGTGACTTCATGTCCTTGTGAAGAAAAAAGTGAAATGAAACCTCCTTATAAGCTGAACAAACAGCTTGAACTAGAAAAGCTTGTAAGTAGAGAAGTGGCTTATAAGGAGAATAACTATTCTATAAATAGAATTCTATTGATTAAAAGCAGAATTATTTACATTTCTGTTGACTGGAGAAATTTTTAATGAAACATGTCTTTAGAACTTTATCAGAAGTAATGGCATCTCACACTTCAAGGGTCTGAGGGAACTAGGTGTGTAAGCTCTATTGGAGTTCAAATTATCTTTTAAAATTTGTTTTCTTTTTTATTATTGTTTTTAATTCCCTGCTGGTGGCAGCAGAGCCATAACAAAACTTTGGTCCTTCTGTGTCACAAATCTAAATTCCAGGCTTTATGTGAACCTATGGGAAGAGACAATTATGGATGAACTTAAAGTAATGTATTGCTAGGCTAGAGGTGTCACTGGATAAACAAACTGTACTCTTTGAGGCTGTTGAGGTCAATCCTGTGAGAATGTTGAATGTTCTGCTGCTTTCTAGAGCAAGAATCAAAGACTGTACCATGGATCCACTGAAAAAATACTTCTAAGCATTTTTTTCTGGATTTTACCCTTTTTAATTGGGAGTAGGATTTTTTGTCTGTTTGTATTTGGATGGGTTTGGGGGTTATTTTGGTCCTCATGTTCTGTGTGCTAATGCAGGGTGTACAACTATGAGCCTCTAACCCAGCTGAAAAACGTGAGGGCCAACTGCTACGGCAAGTACATCGCGCTGCGTGGCACCGTGGTGAGGGTCAGCAACATCAAACCCCTGTGCACCAACCTGGCCTTCGTCTGTGCTGCCTGTGGGGATGTGCAGGGTGTTCCTCTCCCTGATGGCAAGTACACCCTTCCCACCAAGGTGAGCCAAAACCATTGAACTTCATGCTTTTTGTTGTGTTTTGACCAAAAGCAGCACCACAGGTGTTAAAAAAAAAGGTCTTTAAAGCTGGGTTACATAACTAACACATTGAAAAATAATTAAGCATACCATTTTCTTACTTCAGACCCTTGTCACTTGTAAAAAATGTATGCTGCTGGAACAGGATATGTAACAAAAAATACATAGAAACTCCCTGAAATCTGGAAAAAATATTATCTCTTTTAATTTCCATTTCACCAGTTGTGTTTAAAAAGACCCTTCCACCGTGATGTGGTGGTTTTCTATGCTTACATTGTTTGGTTTTTTTTTGTTTAGAATTTTCTATTTTAATTTTACTTTTATTATCTGGACTTAAGAAGTCATTGGACATAGGACACTGCCTGATTATTCTCAAACCAGTTCACTGAGGGGATCACACAATTCTGCTGTGTTTGCTCTAACAGCTGTGAGTCAGAGTTCAGGTGTCTGTACTTGATAGATCCTCATTAATTATGTACATCCTAATTTGTAGCCCTAATTTAATTGGCTTTTTTCCTGAAATGATGCTGAATTTTATTGCAGCTGTGCCACTTGACTTGAATGAGCTGGAAGTGAACTGGAGGGTTAAAAGTCTTAGTTTGAAGTGATATCCGTGCAAAAACTCGTGCCGGTCTTAGCAGCTCCAGAGGGCGCTGTTCATCACAGCTTCTTCAGTAAAGCTTGGCTTGGCTTCCGTGGAATCTCAGAGCTCCAGGTGCAGAGCCAGAGCTGGAACTCTCACAACCAGAGAGTCAGCTGCTCTTCTTGTTATAGTCTGAGAAATTCCTTGGACTTTTTCAGAGTTGCAATACCTATTAAGAATTCATGGGGGCTATAATGTCTGAGCTCTTAATTATTTTTTTTATATGGATTCCTTTTACCTTATGTCCTGTACTTATTTCTACATGAACATGCTCGTCAGTGGTAGCAAATCTGAATTTCAACTCAGAGTTCATAGTTACTGCATTTCTGGGCTTTCTGTGTGGTTTATACCCATTCAGCGAAGCGTGACCTGAAGCAGATGCCCAGAGCTGCAGGAGCAGTGTGCTGCCGTTGCACTGGAAGGTGCTGGGTGGTGTCCAGCTGCCCTCGTGTGTTGCAGGGTGCAGGAGCTCATGTCGGACGACCAGCGGGAAGCAGGACGGATCCCGCGCACCATCGAGTGTGAGCTGGTCCAGGATCTCGTGGACAGCTGTGTCCCAGGGGACATGGTCACAGTCACAGGCATAGTGAAGGTGGCAAGCACTGAGGAAGGTGAAGTGCAGCATCTGAGAACTCATTTTTCCTACAGTGGGGTTTTTTGGTAGTGCTTACACAAGAACAACAGTCAGTCCCCTTCATTGGAGCTCTCGGTGCCATAAGTCCATACAGTGTAAATTTCTTTGGAAGTTACCAAACTTTTACAATGAAGAGTTATTTTAGGGCATTATTTGCTTAAAGTTTTCTCTTCCGTATCTCCTTCAGGCATTAAGAGAACTGTCACACTGTTGTGAAGGAGAGTTATCTCAGCTTAGCCTCCCTAGAGAAATTTTTCAACTTTCTTTTCCTTTTCTTTTCCCAAGAGAAGAAATAGGTTGTGCACTGCTCTGAAAGAATACATTGCAGATAACTGCAAGACAGTTTTACTCTGAGATTTCATTCTCTGCTCAGTAATCAGTCTATATAGAAAATGATTCATTATTAATTGATAATTACTCCACTACATGTTTAGTGCTTCCACACCATGCATCTTTTTTTTTCACAAAGTATTGAGTGGAAACATTTTATATTCAACTTTTCTTTGACAACAATAATATAATAATTTAAAATCCCTGGAAAAATTTATTTATTCTGGGACAAAATTCTCTCTAGAAATGTGTATTCCAATTCAAGAAAATATGTATTGTGTATGTAAGTGGAGGGAACTTAAAAGCACAATTGTACCTAGAAACGTATTTTGCATCAATTTTACAAAGTGCAGATGTTCAGTACATAAATATGAACATGCCTGTACATGATATTCCTAGTTGCTCTGTGCCATTTGTAGATAATATGAGTACTTATTGATAGAAAAAAATGCTCCATCATCCTTTTTCAATTTTTCTAACAGGAGCTTCTAAAAATAAGAACGACAAGTGCATGTTCTTACTGTACATTGAGGCAAATTCTGTCAGCAACAGTAAAGGACAAAAACTGAAGAATTTTGATGATGAGACCTTTCAGAGATCATTCATGGAGTTTTCCCTTAAAGACCTCTACGCTATCCAAGAAATTCAAGCTGAGGAAAATCTGTTCAGGCTCATTGTGAAGTAAGTTATATCAGACCTAGACTGGATCTAGGGTTAGGCATGAATCAGTGTGACCACCTTCAGACAAATGTGACAGCTCATCCTAAAGCTGTGAAATGTCTGAGCCTTGTGCAATAGAAACCACAGAGATCTAAGAAACTGCAGTGGGCAAGGGACTTGGAAGGGAGGTATTGCAGTGGGAATGTTGGGACTTTGGGAGCAGTTTAGAAATTCAAGAAGTTTCTTGTGTTCTAGTTTAACCTTAGACAGAAAGCTCTGGGTAGAAAAACAATTAGTTAATTTTGTTCCTCACCGTGTAAATTCAACTTACAAGTACCATTTTGTCCTCCAGTTTTCTTCAGTAGAGGAAAGAGGTGCAAGGACTGAGCAGAGGGTGTGAAAGATCCTCAGTTCAGACTGAAAAGCACTCTTCTACCTGGGATGTCCCTCAGGCCCTCCCAGGGAGTCAAAGAACACAAACCCAGCACTTTAAAAGGAGGGTTACAGGTAGTTACTTGATGAAGACATGAACAGGCACAGATACCACTGGAAAGCTGGCTCTCCTTTGTCTTCGTGGGGACTCAAGTGAAAAGCTTTTCTTGTTTCAGTCATTTCTGGTTATCCAAAAATTTCAAGAAATTTGACGCTGCTGATTTCTGATGGAAATTCAGCAACAGCTATGCAAAAGATTTTATGTTTATTAAGGTGTTCTGTGATGAGAGAGAGGACAAGTGATTATTTATAGTAATACATGATTTATCTTCCACTTATGTTACCTTGTGCTTTGTTTTTCAGCTCTCTTTGTCCTGCAATCTATGGCCATGAGGTAAGTCATCTAAAAACTCTACTTGTAATTCCAGTTTGAAATGTTTATGCCACATCCAACTCCTAAAGGATTCACAAAGCTTATCTGGGACAGGGGAAGGGGACGGGGACTGTTTTTACAGATGACTGTGGCTCACAGTCTCTTGGTGTCGGGGGAGTGGCAGCCTTATACCCTTAAGTTCAGTGATCCAGAAGGAAAGGTTGTTGCAGCCAGTTCTAGGGAGCTGTCAGTGCTGGCCACCACGATGGAATGCTTACAGTGTTGGCCTCTACCACAACAGATTGTGAAGGCAGGGTTGGCCCTGGCCTTGTTTGGAGGATGTCAGAAGTTTGTGGATGACAAGAACAGAATCCCAGTGCGAGGAGATCCACATGTTCTGGTTGTTGGAGATCCAGGATTAGGAAAAAGTCAAATGTTGCAAGTATGGTTTCCTTTATTACTATTTTCTGTTTTCCTCTATTTCCTTGTTATCTTGACTTGCAGCCATGGTAGAATAACTGTGCTGAGACCAAAGGGTTGACTGAGCCTTGCTGGAGCTACCTTTTCATGTGGGATGCCTCGAGTATAGGAGTGTATCTAAAGGGCTCTCCTGCCATCCAGGGAGCCTGTTAAAACACCACAGCAGGTGTCCGTGGTCAGGCCCATGGGCTTTCAAGGACAGGCTTACAGGCTTGCTGTCCTGCCCTTATACAGTTCTTGTCACCAACCCTTTTCCTCAGTGAGCAGGTTCACTCCTTCCTGTCTTCATTTAGCTGGTCCATTTTGAAATAAAGTAATTAATCTTTGAATAAATGCAACTTCAGATGCCCTGTGACTCTCCTCCTGTGAGGTTTACTTCCATTCCTTACCCTATTTCTATGTTGCTAGCACAGATCTTTTTGGGAAAGGGACCTGATCCTGTGTTTGGGTTTTAATCTCAGTAGGTATTTCTGCATGACTATGACAATTAGTAATTTTTTTTACCTTAAACTGAATGATTTTTAAATTCCATGTATTTTTCCGTGGTTACTGTGAAGTGAAAGAGGGACAGAATTCACCTAGACCTTCTTTAAAAAGTCTTTCTAACGTGGAGCTGTTGCATTATGGTATGATTTGCACTTAGCCAAAGTAACGGATTTGCATGCAAGCATCTTAACAAACAAAACTTTTAAATTTTTTTTAATTTTGTTGAATGGGGACTCACCAGCATTGAGTAACTGATTTGTTTTTTCACATTGTTACCTGAAAAAAGAATGCCATCCAAGAAAAGCTACTCCTACTGCTTTTCAGAAGTATGTGTCTTGGAGCTGCAAGGAATTAGAGCTTTACTGTTGGGCCATGTTCAGTAGAAAGAAACAAATCTGAGGTTACTTTGAATTGTTTCTCTAGAATAAGGCTTATGAAATTCTTCACTTTGGGGAAGGAAAAAGTGTTTGTTTCTCTTCTAGGCTGTGTGTAACATCGCTCCTCGAGGTGTGTATGTTTGTGGTAATACTTCCACCAGCTCTGGCCTGACTGTTACACTCTCCAGAGATGGCACTTCTGGAGATTTTGCCTTGGAAGCTGGTGCCTTAGTGCTTGGAGATCAAGGTAATTCATGGAATGTCACAGGTTCTGCATAGCCATATGTAAAGGGCATGAGAATGTGTGCAGCTGAGTCTCAGCTAAGCCAAAGTGCTCGCTTAACTGTGGACTAAAAGTGTTTATTTGAAGTAAGATATTGGGCTTCCACACCGTGGGAAGCTCTGAGCTTCTCCAGTGGCTTCTCTGGGGGCAATTCCTGCGTACCTAGAGTGTAGGGAAACTTCAGTTCTCCAGTTCATATACCAGACTTCTGTGTCAAAGAACTAGGATTTTTTTTGTTCAGGGATCTGACTTGATGTCAGCTCTGGACTTTTACTGGTTTTGAAAAAGGACTCACGAATGCGATATGTTGTCTATTTTAAAAAGCTTGTTTCATCATCTTAACAAATCACCAAAATGCTGCATCCCCAAGTCAGGCTGAGTTCATAGTGGTTTGGTTGCATTACCATGGAATGAAAACAAAGCTGGCTGAAATGGAGATTTTCCAATGTCTCCTGCAGTCCCTAGGGTTCTAAGTTGGACTTCTGATGTAGCACTAGGTTGTAGGACACGCTTGTCCTTCAGTTAATGTGTCATCTGATAAGTCTTTGTCCTGTTTTAATGCTTCCAGGAATTTGTGGAATAGATGAATTTGATAAGATGGGAAACCAGCACCAGGCTTTGTTGGAAGCCATGGAACAGCAGAGCATCAGCCTGGCCAAGGCTGGCATTGTTTGCAGTCTGCCAGCTCGGACATCCATTGTTGCTGCAGCAAACCCCGTTGGAGGACATTATAACAAAGCCAAAACAGTGTCTGAGAACCTAAAGTGAGCCCTTACTGAAAATGCTGCTTTTATAATTCACATTCAGGAGTAGATGCTTCTGGCAGTCTTGTAGCTCGTGTACAATTGCTTTCTAGAATTGTGGAGTGAACACAAAATTTAATAGAATCTTTAGTGGCTTTTGAGAGAGAAATTGCTGTTGCACTTTATTCTGAACGAGCAGGACAGATCTTTTACCTGTGTTTGAAGTGCAACAGAGTTGCTATAATTTTTGCACTTCTCCAAGCACTCCAAGTTCCTTGTCTTTCCTCCAGAATGGGGAGTGCTCTGCTGTCAAGATTTGATCTGGTTTTCATCCTGCTGGACACGCCGAACGAGGACCACGACCACCTGCTGTCCGAGCACGTGATGGCCATGCGGGCCGGCCGGCGCGCCGCCTGCAGCAGCGCCCTGGTGACCCGGGCCAGCTCCCAGGAGCACTCTGTCCTCCAGGCCACCTCAGGTCGACCCCTGCTCGAGAGGCTGAAGGTGGGACTGGTCCTGGGGCTGCTGCCTGAGATGCTCTGAAGCAAATATCTGTGTTGGGTTTCAGTAAGGAGATACAGAAGTGGGCTGGGTGTAATAATTTGGTATAACGTGATCTGTGATGGAGTGTTGAATCCAAATAAAGCAGTGTGGAAGCAAATCCTTGGGCATCTGCAACTCTGTGGATTTGGGAAGTATAGGAGAGGAAGCATGTTTCTCATTAGACTTTAGTGATGGCTTTGAGTGCTGATATTGTCAAATGCCAGGTCTTGGGAGAAATACTCCTACTGGAAGTAAACCCATGCACTTTTGGAAACAGGATATCAGCAGTGATGGCTTAATCTTCTATGGAGCTGTGGGAATTGGGATTTTCTCTTTTTGAGAAAGGATTTTACTCTATAACGAATTCTGTTTGGCACTTCCTATCATTGCAGATGGGAACCCTTGGCTACTTTTTCTGAAATGGCCAAGTGTGTGTGTTTACATGTCTGAGCATAGCGTGGGGACTTGAAGTACACCTTTCATATACACAGCACCAAAGCCCTTATAATGATGACTTCACTAGATAAAGCATAAAGATGATGATTTGGTATTAAAATTTTTATTGTATAGAATTCTGACAGACAGAAATCTAACTCTTTGTAATGGTGCTAGATCTCAACAGGAGAAAACTTTGATGCCATTCCCCATCAGCTGCTGAGGAAGTACGTCGGATACGCTCGGCAGTACGTGCACCCAAGCTTATCTCCAGAGGCTGCACAAGTCCTCCAGGAATTCTACCTTGAGCTCCGGAAACAAAACCAAGGAGCAGACAGCACCCCCATCACCACGAGGCAGCTGGAGTCCCTGATTCGACTGACAGAGGTAAATGCAAGCTGGAATGCTTAGGGGATTGAAAGCAAAGAGATTATTGCTGAGGTACTACCCAAATCCTATCATTTTTACAGCTTATTCACCACAATGCTTTTTCTGTTTTGTTAAAAAAAAAAAAGTGAGAATGCATCAGGCTTAGAAGTGCTTAAGAGCTGCTGTTCCTTAAAACTTCTTATGAATCAAAACACCCTTGAGGAGATGGAAATAGAATCTATCACGTTCCCCAAAAGGAGAAAAAGTAGGTGCAGGCAGGAGCAACTGCTGCCCACCTTGAACATGGACTGCTTCTGTTTTCCCTAACACTGCCTTAACAACTCTATTTGTGATCTGCTGCTTCACAAGGCTACGCTGCTAAAAAGCAAGTTAACTCCAAGACACAGCCTAAAAGTGCAAGTATGCAGGAGAACACATTGACACACTAACAAAAATAGAAAAATATTCCTCTAATCCTGTAGGCTTAGGTTCTGTCTCTGTTCCTAAAATTTGTGCTTGTAGTCCTTTTTCACACCAGTTATGATATATCTTAAACCTTTGTGGGATATTTTTTTCTGTTTTAAGGCACGATCAAGGCTGGAATTAAGAGAGAAGTCTACCAAGGAAGATGCTGAGGATGTAATAGAGATAATGAAATACAGGTAATAGAAAATACTGCTTTAAAAATAAATAAAGCATCACAGTGCTATTCATTGGAAACTTCTTTTCTTTACACATGCAAACACAATGAAGAAATCACTTTATCAAGCTTAGATCCATGATACTACTATTTGGCTTTGTTAGCTGCTCTTTAAAAGCTGCCAGCAGCCCTAAGTCAAATACAACTGCTCAGGCTTGTGAGTTGTGTGGTCACAGTGGTTCTGGGAGTCTGGGCACAGTAATGCACACGTGAGGCTCTGCTGAAGGGTTTGCTCTCCCCTGTGTGTACTCTCTGGTGCAGGGGAACAATTAAAGTTCAGAAGTGATTTGGATGAATGCTTAAGTTCCCTAGAGAGTGACCTGAAAGGGGATCGTTTTCTGCGTGGCTTCTGAAAGCTCTCTCAAGCAGCCACATTTTGGGAATCAAATCCACATATGTTTGCTTTTATCTCCTGGTGAGAGTTTGATCTCTTTCTGTAACCTGTTTGTAGCATGCTGGGCACCTACTCGGATGAGTTTGGGAAGCTGGACTTCGAGCGCTCCCAGCACGGCTCTGGGATGAGCAATCGCTCGCAGGCCAAGCGATTCGTGTCTGCCCTGAGCAGCGTGGCTGAGAGGACCTACAACAACCTCTTCGACCTGCAGCAGCTGCGCCACATCGCCAGGGAGCTGCAGCTCCGGGTGAGCCCCCCTTCAGCAGCCACACGCTGCCAGGCCACCCACAGCTCTTCCTGCCAAAGGGAGAGGGGCAAAGGCACCTCTGCTGTGCCTCTTTGCAATGGCAGAAATAACCAGTGTCCTGCTGTCGGGCTGAGCAGAGCTCCTGAAGTGTCTCTGTGAGCTTCAGTGACCCCACAGCTGTTAGCAACAGCAGCTCCTTGCACTGCTAAGGGCTGACTCGACTGATGAGGCTGGTTCTGAGCAAGATCCTGGTTTGATCTGTGAAAGGCAAGGGTGGTTTCAGTGCTGCACTCCTGCCTCCCCAGAGGACACACCTATTTTTGTTCCCAAGTTTAGACTTGTGGTGTCCGTGCTCTATTTCAGCAGTGCAATGATGTTTCTGCATCACCTCCTCTGGATTAAATATGCCTTTCAGGTTTTCATTCCTGCTTCAGACATCCTGAAGTTGTATGTTGAAAGGAACATCATCTAGGACACATGGCCACAAATGTATTCTGCCCTGTAATTGATTTGCACTCTGTACTTGTGGGGGCTTCAGCCAAACAGAACTATTGATAGCTAACTCTTAATTTTTGCTCCATCGACTACTTATTGAAGTTAATTAAATTAACTCTTAATTCTCCCTTCATATATAGAATATTTTTGCCCATTCAGAGTTTTATACCTGGAAATCAGGGAGAGTTGTAGAAATCATGCTTTTCTGTGGTAGGTACTTCTGTTTCAGAGCTGGAATTTACACATATGGAGCTGCACCTTTTCTTCATGTCATAAAGAAGAGTGTGCTGCTTCTGTGTAGCTCTGCAGTAAAAACAGTGTGTAACTAAAGCAGAAAACAGGGGGGCTGATGGTGTGAGACCTCCTGGTAGGTGAAGAGTTTGCTAAGGAAACTGAGCTATTCTTAGCCCACTTTATTTCTCTAAGTTCTTTCACATGGTTTATGTCACCTTACATCAGGTAAGATGTTATTCTCCAATTTGATATTTTTGTCTTTATCTTCCCAGGTATCTGATTTCGAAAGCTTTATTGGATCCCTAAATGACCAGGGTTATCTTTTGAAGAAAGGTTCAAGAGTTTATCAGCTCCAGACCATGTGAGAAGAGTCACTGTGATGAACTTCCTTGGGATGACTGTCCCCCTGGAGTGCTGGGCATGCAGCACGTCCTGAGCTGAGCTGCACCTGCCACAGCACTGGGGTTTGCTGGGCTGGAGATTCCCCTGCAGAAAATTAGACTGGAAGGCTGCAACAGGACAAACTGGCACTTGGTACTGCTGCCTGGCTCATCCTACAGCTCTCTGTTCCAAATGGGACCTCATCATCCTCCGGGAGTGGAAGGTGTGTTTTTATGCTGTTACACTGCCATCAGGGGCTTTACTTCTGAAAGAGATGCTGGACCCACAAATTTCAGCCCAGAAATCTTTCGTGAGAGGAAGGTACAAGCTGTACTTTCAGCACTGTAGTTCATTTAAAGTCTAGAAATGTTTCCAGAAGGTTCTGACAACACTGTTCTATGGCTCTTACCAAATGACACTTTACTGAAACTGACTTGATTTTCTGCTTTGAAACATGGTCTTTGAAGCCAAGGTTTTATTTGAGATCCAAGTCTGATTTAAGAAAATATCCTTATTACAATATTTAATTTGTAAAGCAGGGATTGGATTTTGACTTCCATTAAACTTTATATATGAGAAATATTATTTGTTCAAGGCTGTTTAATGGCCATTACAAGATCTGTAACACCAACAGGTTCTGTTTGTTCCTGTGTACTGTTCCTGACACAGAACCACGCGTGAAGCAGGGGTGAAGTGCTGAATGCTTCCTGGCTTTGAAATCAGAACCATGGTCTGGTGCAATGAAATAGCAGCTGGGAAGCTTTCAGTGTAAGAATTAAAAAACCACAAACACCAACACGCCCTCCCTAAGAAAAATATACTTAAAAAAATCAAGACTGCAGTGCTGGTTCTTGTTTTCCTTCTTTCATTTCTCAGGTAAGATATGATAGATGAAAAAAAAAGCAGAAATACTGAAACTTAGTGCCTCGCCCTCTAATTTAAGGGACATCAGGGATCAAATACACTTGAAACTGAAAACTGGTCAGCCAGATGAAATGCTTTAAGTACAAAATTATAGTTCTGTATCGGAGCTCTTAAGCGGCAAGGTGTGCACAGCTAATGGTGTCAGAGACTGATTTTGGCTTAGTACAGTGCTGGGGACAGGAACGCGCCTCAGCAGCAAACAAACGCTGCACCTGGAAAAGTGAACTCATTCCCGTTTCTCCTCCAGACCAAGTAAAGGCAAGCGAGAGCCAGAGGCAAGTAGCGAGCACCAGAGAGCACCGGCGCTCTGAGAAGTTTCTTAAGGCAACGCAAACCTTCTCCTTCCTCCCTCAAGGGCTGCCCGAGAACGGCGCGGCCCCGCCGTGAGGAGGAGCAGGATCAGCCCGGGCAGCCGCCCACCGGGCCGCCATGGACATCGCCGTCCGCGCCCGGGGGCCGCCGGGGCAGAGCTTGGGCAGGGAGGCAGGCGGGAAAACGGCGGGAATGCGGCGGGATAGCACCGGGACAGCGCTGTGCCCTGACCGGCCTTTCAACTCGGCTGCCTGCCGTAAAGCGCGCGGCCCGCCGGAGGGGCGGGGCTGACGCAAAGCGCCGCGAAAGGTCGCGCGTCCCCGGCAGCGCTCGCGGCACACGCGCCGCGCGCGGCTCGCGCGCC